CCCGCCCTCCTGGAAGCTACCCCTGATTTTCATTCATTCGAGGCCTGAAGCCCGCGCCGGGTACTCGCGCCAGTCGCCGTCTGCGTTGCCGTCAGCGCAAATATAAACAAAGCTCACAACAGTTGGTTTACCCGGTTTGAACCCAATAGTGAAAAACAGTGATTGCAGTTGAAAAGGTGAGTGATTTGGAGATATTTTTAAGTAATATTTGGGTATGTTTTTGGTGTGAATGCCACGTGACTGAAGGTCTGTCTGGCGGGCGTTTTGTTGCCGAAATGAGTGTTTATTGTGCCAAGCTACACGGTTTTAAGAGACTGAGAGGTAAACGTGTGTTTAAGTATTCAACGTTTCTACCTAGCAGTGGTGTTATTCTATTAAATGTTAGAATATTATACTGGAATTTAATAAAACATTGATGGTATGAAAGTTGAACCGTTTGAACGACATCTGCCTTTAAGGACGATATTTAATTAGGTATAGGCAAAGAAAATTATACAACGTGTTACAAAACAACCAATAAAGCTGAAAGGGTGTGGAAAGGTCCGTTGCAAAGAGTCAATTAACAAATAAATTAGAGCCGTAGCATCGTTATTGACAACTACGAAAAAAAATTTTTTTTTTAAATGACACTTATTTTTAATCGTGGCATCGCAGCACTAATTTTGACAGCTTAAAGTTCAAATGAAGTTACCGACGCGGCGCATCGCAGTTCGGTCTACATTGCTGGCTATTACATGAATGTCATCAATACAAGAAACAAAGTCAACCAGCAATGTATGCCGAAGCGGACTTTGTTCGCCAGGCAGTGTAGCACCTGACCTAGACTAGTGATGTGATTATTTTATCGACTGATGGTAATGAAAAATATTCTTTTTTTTGGTTAGTTATGTAACAGGTTGTAAAAACCCAAGGTAAATAGATGGGTACTATCAGCTGCTTATAAACATACAATTTTAAGGGATCAGTTTATACTGGTTATTCCCAGTAAATGCAAAACCAGTGTAGATTCATCCTAAAGGGATAAGTCCCTATAGGGGTAAGTTACTATGTACGAAAACAATCTCTCTCTTCGTGTGGGACACCGAGTCGTTCAACGACCCGATGAACCCTGGTGTCAGTTTTTCAACCGCGACCGCCATCATAGACAGCAACCGGGACCGACGGCTTAACGTGCCCATCCGAAGCACGGAACCATCTTACTTTTCGGACAATCAGGTGGTTCAGCCTGCAATGTCGTCCTAACCAGACTGGGAACAAATTCACAAAGTGATAAATATAAACGTTGTGAGTGACCCCATCGGGAATTGAACCCGGAACCTTTTGCGTGGCAGGCAGTCATACTAACCACTGCGCCACATCGGCTGTACGAAAACAATGAAATGACAGTAATTGTTTTTTTTTATTTCGCTAATGCCGATTGCTGATATTAAAACTCGCGCAACGTTAATCGGGTCGTTTGTCGATTCGAATTCCACTCGAAAAGAAGATAAAGACAACTCGCACTGAAAACTCTTTGATGGTGATAACACCCTCAAATAAATGAATGAATTTGAACAATCCGAAATTCCTCGGCTTAAAGACACATAGACGTTTTTGACCTATGAAATTTAGCAAATTGGAAAAGGCTTATAAAATCACATTCACAGCAAAACCACAGCCAAATCCATAACTTAGGCATGTCTCTATTAGTAAAAATAACAAGAATGTTTTTCTAAACCGCCACTCATCCCATAACTGAACCCATATTATTGGATAAGCCCTGCATAAAGCCCTTCTCATGGGAGACGATTTGCTATAATCTAATAGCTTTGGTACATAATAATAATTTGTATGGATGATATTTTTACACAAGTAATCGAATTTCCTTGCATTTTTACGTTTTCATGGTATACTTACAAAGCCGTGAGCTACTCAGTTTTAAACAATTACAAATTTCTATAAAAAACGTCATCTGTTGGTATGTATAAAAAGCTTTAAAAAGCACAAACGGAAATGAAGGAAATGATGACTTTAACTGGAAATAACCGTAATCTCAGAGGAGAGGAAGTCAAGATAAACTAAGAACTTGATTGCCACGAACGTCAATTTTCTTGTATTCAAATTGGCTTAGAATCATATGACGTTTTTTTATTAGATTTTACTGTTTTGATATTCTTATACTTTGAGATTGTTGACAGTAGCAACCCTGGCTATGTAACAAGTGCCAATCGCGAAAATCTGAAATAGGGCCGAGTGAACACTGTGTAAACTCTCTATTTTGTGTAAAAAGTATGATATTCAAGAACTTTCAGTTAAAGTTGTCATATTTCTGCGATTGATCTCTGCGCACGCAGGCGATTAAAAGAGTTATATTGAAGCCGGCCTGGATTCAACCCGGCCCGAAAAACCGTCCGAAAAAATTCTAAGCATAAAAAGTCGAATAGAGAAAAGTATAGGAATGGTTAAAACTATTTGATGAGCCTACCTATGAATCAGAACATGTACTACATTATAAACTGTATAACTATACTTGAATATTTAAAGGATTAACATGCGTGATAGAGGTCTCAGCTTTACAGCAGCTATTCGGACCCTAACCCGGGATTACCCGAGTTACTGACGGTACAAACTAACGGTAATAGTTGAGCCTACAGAAAATTAACTCGCTGGCCTTCAGGGTAACAAAAAAAAAGTCGAAATAAGGAAAAAAGGTACCTTTGATGGCAACTCAAATCAGCTGATCAACAATTTATGGATAAGGCCCAATTTATTTTTCATATTTCGACCTATGTTCCCAAAGAAGGTAGAAGTCAGGCAGACGGCCGGTTGGAAAATTAAGCCAAATCCTTTTGCAACATGATTTTGTGTTCAACAAAACGTGTTGCGCCGACCCCAAATAATTGGGACAAGGGCAGGAAGATGATGATTTTGATCTATGTTTCTTGGGGAAAGTTGTTACTTATCATCACCAGCTGATTCTGAGTTTTCGCTATCGGCCACTAGTAAACACCCAATATACACGGGACTTTATCGTGAACTTCGAAGCACGGAACCATCATCAGAGGCAAAATCGTTAGTTTCATATTTTGACCGCATTATAAATACGTACCTACCTACGGGTTGACGAGGGTCAAGCGGTCACCCATCATGGCGCTGACACCTGTCAACGCAGCTTAACCTAGTTATTACCTGCAAGACTATTGTTTGTATTAAAACTATTTAAATAAATGAGGCATTTTGTAGTTAATACGACAAGTAATTTTGGTTTAGCGGGTTTGCCGTGTGGTGCCGGCTTGGAATAGCATCACCCCATTTCTTTCCCGTGGGTGTCGTAAAAATCGACTATAAGATTTGATAGCTTGCACATCAAATTGCAATGTAGGTACATCGCATTGCAATTTTAGGCGACAGGCTGACAACCTGTCACTATGGTGATACACTCTCTTCTGAATGACTCTCAGAGTTTTGTTAAGCGTGGTGTACCTAAACGGGCATTTTAATGGCCGTTTACGCTCTGCATACCCCGAAAGGGATGTAGGCGTGATGTGTGTATGATTGTACTATATACTCAAAAGGTGAATGAAACACCTACAAGTTTACGTACCTACCTACAAGACAAAGGGTTATTTTGTTTGAACCGATTTTCATTTTTAATGCCATCTATTGGCATAAAAAGGCGTAACTATTATATTCTGTAAAATCGGCATTATTCTGGTAGAAAATTACTTTCTGCAGGAAAATTTATTTGAAAATAATTAAACCGGGAGTAACAGAAAGGGTATAACAAGCCGAAAGGAGGTCAATGTACACATGAAACTGAACAGCTTTCCCTATGGAACATGGGTCGAAATATGAAAAAATAATTTGGTCCTCATATAGTAAATCAATCAGCTGATCGGTAATTTTGTATGGGAGATTCAAATATGTTTTTTCGTATTTCGACCCATGTTCCATAGGAAAAGTTGTTCAGTTTAATGAGTACCTTGACCTCCTTTCGGCTTGTTATACCCTTTCGGTTACTCCCTGTATTATTCATTGTGTGTCTGTGTGTGTTATCCACACGTTCGGTAATCCAAAGATTATCTTTAATTAACTAGGCTGTTTCGTTTTAGGGCTGGTGCCTAACGAGGGCATAAACTCACTAGATCCCACGTTCGTAACATAATATGCGTATATTCTTTGTTTATTAATTGTAACAGATCTGCGATTATTTTGTGTACAGTTATATTGTAATGTGGCAACAGTTACTCTACTTAATCTTAGATTGGTCGCGTGGGGTCTTTGAAAGCCCTTCAAATAGATAAATGCGTTTTTTTCTTATAACGGATTATGTGAGTAGCTTGAAACTTTGTGTACCTTCCTGAATAGCATGTAGATTGGTATAAAATTTTATTTCATCAATATCCGTTCACGCGTTTACGATATATGGGCGTCATTTTAGTAAAAAGGCTTTTAAAGACCCCACGCCACACGCGACTGGAAGTTTTATTAAACTTTTCATACATATTTTTACAAAATATTATTAGTTTCATTCGTGAAAAGCAGAAAACAAAAACAGAAATATTTTTATAGTTAGTAAATAAAAATATTCAGGGTATTTTTCAATTTGTGCTTCAATTCACGTTAATTATCTACTATCCGCCAGATTTTTAATATTTTCTTTAAAAATATGTTATATTTTTCTCGTCAATTATTGGTTATTCTGTTCAGAATATATTGAGTATTAGTAAATAACAAATAATTTATCAAATTTTGTCATTTAATGACATCTAAACTTTGGGGTTCACAAAGACCCCACGCGACCGATCGCGTAGTTTTTTTGGCGCGACTAATCTAGGGTTAAGGGTCATTTTTGCCTATGTCAAAATTTTTGAAAGCATTCTATTTTTGAACAAAGTTCATATAGTTTTTGATGCCATAACATAATATATGACGTCTAATGTCACTCTATTGGGATTTTTAATGCACTCACAGTGCTATATTATTCTCACAAGTGAAAATAAGAAATAGAAAAAATGTCATACATCGACCGGGAATCGAACCCGGGCCGCATGGGTAAACGCCCCACCGCTCTGCCACTGAGCTATCAATGCACCGTCGATGAATGGCAAATTTTCTATCTCTTGATGCTCGTCTTGAAGCGACGATCCAGCGACATCTATAATAAGTATTTAGAACTTACTACTAATGTCACTATTTTCATACAAAATAACGTTTTAAAATACAGCTTAGTACAAAACCCTATTTATTCTGCAACGCAACTTTACGAAGTCCAAATCCAACCCTATCAGCCTTTATAAATACTACCCTATATTTTAGGAACACACCCAACCATTTTTCATGCGTTTTATCCAATCTCCAATACAATATCTCACGTACGAATGGTGTATCCTGAAAAACGGTTTCTTAAACCCCCGCGGACGTGCCCAGATTGTAACAAAGTGGGATATATGGCGGATACGGATATAACAAAATGAGATATATGGCGGATACGGATGTATAACGCGAGAACAGGCCTAACGTCCGTTTGTGCGTTATTTGTTGGCCTTTTGGAATTTTGACCTTCAAAAATACGCTCCAATGCACAACGCTGCGTCGACAGATACGCATACGTCTGTCAAACCGTTTGACATACGGCGAAAAACACACGCACGTCCGTTGGTGCGTTATTTTTCGCTATCCGTTGCGTTTGAAAAATACAATTTTCCACCTTATTTTCATACAAATTCGGTTTATATGAAACGGTTTGACAGACGCATCAGTCAGCGCAAAAATATCGCACAACGCTGCGTTGACGGAAGCATTAGTCAAACAATTTGACATGAACCATATTCGTATTGTCCCAACAGATGCGTTACGCAGCGCAAAAATAACGTCGAAACGGATGTTACGTGTGTGTGTAAAGCGCCTTAACCCTTTTTTAATGAAAATAAGGTGAAAAATCGCATTTTACTAACTCATGCAATAGCGCTGCGCAAAACTAACGCAAAAACACACGTTACGTGTGTTTTTCGCCGAAGGCACATTGATTTCGCCCTTTCGTACGGAACTCCTAAAAAAGACTTTTATTCTTTCTACAATTTTATTGTCATTATTGTCTCAACATAAAACAAAATAAATCCAACAATTTAAACGCTCAAGTATTCCAATTTGTTTGCCAAATGTCGGGTCACAGCAATTTGGGCTCAGCATCATTAAAACCATTCTATTTTTGATTCTTCGAAATTCTGAGTAAATACATATTTCGATGGAATATAATTGTGGGCTTTGTGTATCATCCTTTCTAGAAAATAATTGAGGCAGGTTCTTATCGACGAATCAAATGGAATACAAATAATATAAAACGAAAGCTGTATGCTTAACCCGTAAGTAGGCGCGCTAAAAAAGTTACGTTAATAGGCGCGTGGGGTGTCCTAACACCCCTATTTGTTTAAGTTATTAAAAAACAAAATACAAGCATAATTAGAAATGTATTAATCACAACTTATTGGTTCAAATTAACGTCTTAAATCTCCTTTTCAAGAAAAACAAAACAATTCACACGAAAAATAATTGGCACTTAGAGACCTGTTTTCTTAGGCACATTTTTCGCACACTATGTTCAAGTGGTCATTGCTTATATGATTCAACGGGCGCGTGGGGTGGACTACACCCCAAAAGTGCTTTTCTGACACAACCAATACAATAGAGTGCTGCTCGAGACTGGAATGCAAAGTTAACATCCATTTTTGAGGGTAGATGGAAAATCAGCATGGTACCTTTAAAACTTTTAAAGTTCTAAACCTTTAAACATGCGTTGGGGTGTAAATGACCCCAAGCGCCTACTAAAGGGTTAATACGATTGAGAAGCGCGCCAAGAAACTCATCGCTGATAGGGCACTTATTGACGCAAAGTTCGAACACCGTCGCAAGGTAGCTTCCTTGTCGGTATTCTACAGGATACACTTCGGTGAGTGTGCACAGTCTCTCCATGGCCTGATACCTCCGTCACCATTCCATCTCCGGTGCACGAGACGCCGGTTGGGATTCCACCCTTATATCGTAGACATCCCGCAAATTCGCACAAAGCGCTTCGCTTCTACATGCGAACAATTTTTAACAATTTTTAATGCGAACTGCTAAAGAGTAGAACTCCCTGCCTGCGGATCTGTTTCCGGAACGTTATAACCTGGGCCTTTTCAAGGCGAGAGTGAATAGGCATTATCTGGGCGAGCATGTTCCATCATCGTCTGCATCGTCACTTAACATCAGGTGAGATTGCGGACAAACGCTTACCCATTGTTTATGAAAAAAAAAAACTATTACTAAATAGAGAGTTTACCGAAGGATCACTCAACCCTATTTAAGATTTTCGCGATTGTCACTTGTTACATAGCCAGGGTTGCTGAATTCAATACGATGACGAAATACAGCTAAATCTGATGCAAGAATGTCATACTAATGATTCTGAGCTGATTTCAGTGCAAGAAATATGCAATCCTTGAGTTCCTCTGAGATTCCAGTTCATTGAATCCATCCATCCATAGTGAACCATCTGTAAAGGAGCCTGCGCGCCTTTCCCCTAATTTGTGATATTATTGTAAAAAATACCAAAGTCTATGTTTGGGAAAAAACAGAACAAAGGACATAAGTGCTTATTTTATTTCAATGTAAAATACGATAGTGTAAATAACGCGAAACTTAATAATTTAGTATTTCTCGAAAAGTTATACTACGGCTGCTACGTCGTAGCAACCACAGACAAATGAAACCTTTTTCGCGCAGCGCTACATGTAATTTTTTTGCTCTGTGGTAGCAACTATACTACAACCGGCGCTTCTGTCACAAACAGAGAGGCCTTGCGCGTCGTTTCCCTAATTTGTGCTTCTGTCCTGCCTTCGCTTCTGCTTCTGTCCGACCTTGAAATACCTATAAGATTTGACGTAAAATCTGTGATGTGATGGCTGATGGCATATTTCACAATTTCGAAACTCCGTGACTGCTATTTTACACTTTTCGACCATTTTTCTAGGACGTATTTGTATTCTGAGCTGTGAGTTTTCTCGGTTTTCTCACGTCTAGCTCGGAAATACATTTACTGTGCACATCTGAAGAGCACTCGGCTATGTCCTCGAGTTCGTTAGTTCTGCACACTGGATGGAGAACGTCTTCATGTTATAAGATTCTCTATCATACTATTCTCATTTATGATATTTTAAAGTAGGTATGTCTTCATCTTTGGTATTAATGATGCAGTAACTGTATAACCTGAATGCGTGTGGATAAAATTAGGAGTACATGCTTTTTTGATAGTTAGTAACTAATAAGTTTTTAATACCTACTTCACAGGCTTCCGAGCCTATATCAAGCGCGCCATCTATACATGATTTAAAATAACGTAGTCCTGACAGTTGTTGTAAGTAATTTACTTTTCCAAAAATTCCCACTATGTACAAGCTCTCTCAGACAAATTGATATTGTTTGAGGACATCCTCTTTACGAGCCATAACTGCATTTCAAGACATAAAACGCATATAAGTGAATTATCCCACACATAAATTACAAACGAAAAAGACATTACCCCGATTCCTTCTGACAGTAAGGTAAAATACTACAGGATAGTGTTGCCGGTCCCTATAAAGTCCACTATAGATTTTAAAGCCATTGGTATCGGTAGTGCAAATACAAATAAAAAAAAATATGGTAAAACGTCGTGCCGGCCGTGTGATGCCGGCTTAGAATAGCATCACCCCAATTCTACCCGTGGGTGTCGTAAAAAGCGACTAAGAAAAGTAGGTGTGTTTGTGTATGAGTGAAAGCAAACTGTAACGAAGGTTTTTAAATCATCATGATAGCATTGCACTTTGGCGATAATAATATTAATAATAATAATATAGCTATGCTGTTGGCTATGCTACATTTTGAAAAATCGATAGTTTCGTTTTGCATATCGATTGTATTTGCCGTGTGATACCATCTCAGAAATAGCACCAATCTATTCTACCTGTAGGTGTAGTAAAAAGTGACTAAGAATGCAAATGGAGTGATGCTATTTTAAGCCAGCCTTATATGTGACATAATCATAATAGAAGATGTAAAATGCTACAGATGCAATTTTAAACTCACATTCTCTTTGTGGAACATTATAGTGAATGACCTACTTCTGTATAAGCTGTGAATAATAAAAAGTGGTTCCAATGGTACCTATATTACAAAATATAGAGTTTATATCACAGAAGGTTCACTCGACCCTATTCAGGATAATCGCAATCCTCACCAGGGTTGCTATTGTTAAAAATCTCAAATTTTAAGAATACTTATCAAAACAGCAACATCTTATACATAAAACTCCATACGAGTCTGAGCCAATTTCAATCCAAGAAATATGACGTCCGTGGCAACCATCTTCTTAGTTACCTTGAGTTCCTCTGAAAATCCCAGTCACCACTGGTGATGTATAGGAACTCATTGCCACCTCTCAGTTATTTCCAGTTAAAGCCAGTAAGCTTCAAAATCGACGCTAGTACTGAATGAGCCATCTGTAGAGGCGCCCTGCGCGTCGTTTCTGTAATTTGTGCCTTTACCTAGTTTTTAATCATCAACGCATCTTTCCATTTCAATCAACGGAGATGAGCGCAGATATGGTAAGCGGCGCCGACACAAATTGATTACCAATCAAATCTGAATAATATTTTTTGGACTGACAGCTACACGGGTCCGAGCTAGATGGCGCAGTTAACTTTTTCAGATTGAGGTATCATCTGTGAAATTTATCACCATGACATGACACTTTGCCGTGTGGTACCGGATTAGAATAGAGTATCATCCCATATCTTTCCCGTGAATGTCGAAGCGACTAAGGAATTTGAGAGTTGATGTGTATTGCAGTTTTAGGCGACACAGGTTGATAATAAACATGTCCCTATGGTGCTACACAATCTTTCTCTGACGTGGTGTAAAAGGCCGTTTTACAGCCATTTACGCTCTGGATACCCCGCAAGGGATATGAGCGTGATATGTATATGAATGTATACCTATATGTCAAATTTCACTTCCATATTCTGTGTGGTTATCTGTATTTTTAGATAACCTTGTATAACATTTTTCCTTTGCT